ACCCCGGCCCCGACGGCGCTCGTTTAACCACATCCGCGCCTCCGCTGGAAACGCTTAACGGCGCCTGTCACCGGTTCCCTCCATTTTGAAAGGGGAAAAAAGGCTCTCCCGTTCCCCTACCCTTAGGAGCTGGCGCCGGAGGATCCGCGCTCATGGCGTTCAGCCCGTGGCAGATCCTGTCCCCCGTGCAGTGGGCGAAATGGACGTGGTCCGCGGTGCGCGGCGGGGGCGCCGGAGAAGACGAGGCCGGAGGGCCCGAGGGCGACCCCGAGGAGGAGGAGGACTCGCAAGCCGAGACCAAATCCTTGAGTTTCAGGCAAGTACACGCATCCCTGCCGAGATGCAAACGTGCTGCCACCCACCCATCCATCCATCCATTCATTCATCCACCCGCCCATCCGTCTGTGGCTCACCCGGTGTGCGTGTGTGTGGTCGCCCACCCGCGTAACCATATTCGTGGCAGTGCTACGTCCCCGCCCGGAACCAGGTCCCCGCTGTGCATTCGGAAGTTCAAGATGTTCCGTCCTCCCGTGCGTTTTCTTTCTCCCTTTTCAGTGTGAGCTTTCTGAACCTAACCCAGAATCTGCAGTCTCTCCGCACCCGGTCGGCCTCCGTCACCTTCTCTAAGCTTCGCCCTCCCGGCCCCCGGCCCTCGGCCCTAAGCTCTAGCTCTCTCTCTCTCTCTCTCTCTCTCTCTCTCTCTCTCTCTCTCTCTCTCACACACACACACACACACACACACACGCTCACAGTGCCATTGATCACACCCGGTGGGGAAGAGGTCGCTCCCACTGTGTCCCCCAAAATGCGGTCTTGGTAGAGAAGGTCGCGTGATGACAGGCCGCTGGCAGCTGGTGAGACATGGTGGTCTCTGCTGTGCTGTCACTCGTGTGATTGCAGAAGGCAGGTGACCGCATCCTCCGCCTCGGGCCGAGGGAGTTAGAACAGGTAGCGGAGAGGCCTGCCAGGGGGAAAAGGCATCGTGGCGAGAACTGGCTTAATTTTTTTTTTAGGGGGAGGGGGGCCATCTTAATTTTTAAGGCTCTGGGAAAGGGCTCTTGGGAGAAAAGGAGCCTGTTGAAAAGAGCTTTTATTCCTGGGGTGTCCGAGGGAAGGATGCCATCAAAATAGATGGTGCTGGAGAGAAGCTCCGGAGGATGGTGGCGAATCCGGGGAGACAGGATGCGCGAGAAAAGCCCGCAGCATCGCCCATGGCCAATCGGGGCTGAGGACCAGTGGGTTGTAGGGTTAGGCAAACATCCTGGACGTGAGCCGTTTGACAGGTGATAAAGGCTGTCGGAAATACCGTTGAAAGTGGTAATTCCTCATTTTTCCCCCTTGGCAGCTCGGATTCTGAGGGTAATTTTGAGACCCCTGAAGTTGAAACACCCATCAAGTCACCTCTCAAGGACTGCTGTGATTCGTCACTCGGATTAGCAGGACCTGTGGCCAGCACCCAAGGTAAGGAAAGACGTCCAGGGTCTGCCCCTTTTGTTTTAAAGTTTTGAAAATGTAAACGAGGGAAGGAAAAGTGTTGATTTAGGGCCATTAAAAAAAAAGGTTTGGATGGTCTCCTCATTGCGTAAGAGCTGTTTTAAAGCTCCCCGTGTATTTGAAATGTTTGTTTTTTAGGATCCGGGTCGTCTGAGAGGCTTTCTTCCCCACGTAGTTTGTACATTTGTAGGAGGAGATTGTCTTCATCAAACCTTCCTGCTGGGCCCTTCCGCTCGGCCCCTAAAAAACAAAAATGTGTGTAGGAATGCAGTGATGGACGCAAGGTTAGAATTTCCCAGGCTAAGTAGCTTTCTACAGGGTGTGGCTGGAGACAAAAATTATAGGTGAGAGTTGACGTTTTGTAGATAAGGAGGAATCTGAAGAGGCTGTTTCAAAACTGCTCTTCCTCACACAGGAATGGTGATGAGCTGCTCAGTCTACCTAAGAAAACCTGGTACACAGAGATTCTCCCCGAGCCCCTCAGAGCCCAACCTTGAGCCTGCCCTTCATCTACAAAAGCTTCTGCTGTTCCACTTAATTAGTAGAAATCTTTTTTGTCACGCAGCCAGTTTGGGGTAAAATTTCACCTGTCTTGACGGAATTCATTTATCTATTCAGTAGAGTGCACAGTGATTCAGCAGTGAAAAAGTTCTGCTCTCACCCGTCTAACACTACAGAGGGCCATGGACCTTTAAAAGGCTAAGTGAAAGATACATGTCCGCTCGTCTTCAGTATTATGGAGGAAAAAGTGAAGCGGGGGAAGGAGGAATAGGGTATATGGGGTGAGGGTAGCAGATGCTGAAGGGTAATTAGATGGAGGTTTAATAATAAGACTTAGCAGAGCCTTGAAGAAAGATTGAGGGAACAGCCTTGCAGATGCCTGGGGAGAGAACCCTTCCAGCAGAGGGAATGGCATCTGCAAAGGTGTGGGACGGAGTGGGGCCTATGGGGGGTGGGTGGCAGAGTGGCCGCATGCTTGAGGACCAGTGAAGGGGACAGTGTGGCTGGAGTGGAGTGACAGGCAGAGAGCAGGAGTTGCTGAAGTCAACCAGGTAAGGGGCCGTCTGGATCATATTGTAATGATGCTGCGGTTTTCTTTCTGAGTGAGATAGGAAGCCACTGGAGGATGTGTTAGCTGCCTAGGGCTGCCTTGAGAAAGTGCCACAAACTGGGTAGCTTAAAACAACAGGAATGTACTAGTGTTCTCTCACAGTTCTGAAGGCTAGAAGTTTGAAATCAGGGTGTCAGCAGTGCCATGCTCCCTCCAAAAGTCCTAGGGAAGAATTCTTCCTTGTCTCTTCTAGCTTCTGGTGGTTGCCTGCAATTCTTAGTGTTCCTTGGCTTATTACAGTCTGCCTCCTTCATTACATGGCCTTCTCTCTACTAATCTGTGTCTTCACATGGCATACTTACAAGGATACCAGTCATTGGGTTTAGGGACCATCCTAATCCAGTATGACCTCATCTTAACTTGGTTACATCTGCGAAGATACTGTTAGCAAACACTGGGAGGTAGGGCTGCAGCACATCTTTCTGAGGGAACCCAGGTCAAGTCACAACAGAGGGCTCTGAGCACAGAGGGATTCTGCTTGACTTACTTCTAAAAAGCTTCGCGGGCCCGGCCAGCGTGGCTCAGTGGTTGAGCATCAACCTATGAACCAGGAGGTCACAGTTGGGTTCCCGGTCGGGGCACATGCCCAGGTTGCAGGCCTGCTTTTCAGTGTAGGGTGTGCAGGAGGCAACCAATTAATAATTCTCTCTCATCATTGATGTTTCTATCTCTCTCCCACTCCCTCTCTGAAACCAATAAAAATATATTTTTAAAAAGGGTTAGCTGGCTGCTGTCTGGAGAAGGGACTCTAGGATGGATGTTCTTTTTACCATCTTTCTCTATTCCAGTGCCCGCCACTATCACCCTACAGTGGCGGATAGAGCCAGCTTTCAGTGAGCCAGTTATCTAATTTTTAATCTGATTATGACTTTTTGACCCCCAACCATGATTGTATTTTATTGCTTGGTAACTTCCTCACAGGTTGCCTAGGGAAGTCAAGTTCTCTGTGGTAGACATCATGGCGAAGCTGGATAATCAGTGAAATATCAGCTTTTTGTGATTGGGTTTTGCTTTAAATTGTGTGCTTCATTATGTGTTTCCCCTTCTGAGAATTGAAAATACCCTCCACTCACCCCCCTTCTGCTTTTTAAAAAATATATTTTTATTGATTTCAGAGAGGAAGGGGGAGAGAGAGAGAGATAGAAACATCAATGATGACAGGGAATCAATGATTGGCTGCCTCCTGCATGCCCCCTACTGGGGATCGAGGCTGCAACCTGGGCACGTGCCCTTGACTGGAATCGAACCCGGGACCCTTCAGTCCGGGGCCGATGCTCTATCCACTGAGCCAAACTGGCTAGGGCACCCCCAGCTGCTTTTACCATGGTTTTAGACAGAGTCTGCATGGGAACAGGCAAGACTGTGCTTTGGAAAATGTGTGTGTGTGCTTTGCTTTGTATTTGTAGCGCTCAGTGCCTGAAGATGCCACTTGTTCTCAGAACCTCCCTTTTCTTCTCTCAAGATTGGCAGATCAGAAGGGAGATTTGAAAGCTTGAAAGAACTATTTTGTAGCTTTCCCATCACATTTAAATAAAGCTCACAAGACTTGTTAAGTTGGTTTTTGAAAGACTCTTTGAATTGCCCTCAGTTTGGGCGGCCCCTTCCTCACCATTCTATTAGCTGGTAGTCTGATTCATCCTGACAGATTCTTTGCTAATTGGATAGTGGCCTGTATGGCCCAGGTCCGGCAGCCAGAGCCATAAAGACCCATTTGTTTGGTCCTTTCTGTGCTACTGACTCATTATTACAAGTTTTGGTGACTTACACTCTCTAAAAAGTTTTCCTTCATGGACCACAAAAACTGTGGAGTAGTTCATGATTGGTGATGGTGGTGGGGGGTTGAGCGGGGAGTAGAGTCTGGGAAACAACCACTATATATTTTGAAATCTGTCAATTTAAGGTCTTTACATAATAGGACGATTGCTCTTTGACTTGGTAGTATCCTGCCTTCTAGGGCTTCTACCCAACATCTAGAGCTAGACCAGAGCGCTGATGACACCTTTGTCACACATACACAGTAAATGTAACAATACAACCAAAGCACAGGTCTGACCAGGGAAGATGCCAGCGAGCAAAAATTCCTGTAGAGTCATTTCAAATTGAAGTCAATTTTGGGCTCTGAATGATTCTTTCTCCCCACATTGTTGATTATTTGGCTCCTGATAAAGTTAGTTTTTAATACTTGTGGTTCTAGGACATGGTGCAACACCAAGCGTAGATTATATAAGCCTTTTGGGGGGGCGGGGGGGTGGTGAGGCGGGTAGGGGTGATGCTTATGGCCTGGTTTTGTCCAGTATTTTTTAGACTATCAAAGCTGCATTGGCTGTGCTCTGCCACTGAGACCTCCCCCACTATACACCCACATTTTTTTGTTGTTGTTAATCTTCACTCGAAGATACTTTTCCATTGATTTTAGAGAAAGTGGAAGGGAGGAGGAGAGACAGAGAGAAACATTGATGTGAGAGAGACACATCAATTGGCTGCCTCCCACACTATGCCACCACTAGGGCCAGGGATTGAGCCTGCAACCAGGGTACGTGCTCTTGACTGGAACCAAACCCAGAACCCTTCAGTCTGTGGGCCAACGCTCGAGTCTAGCCACTGAGCCAAACCAGCCAGGGCCACATCCACCTTTATTTCCAGATAGTTACTCTGCTTTGAGAAAGAGAATCTTAATCCATGCTGAAGCTGTGCTATGGCCTTGAAACAAGGAGTTAAACCTTCCCTGTTTGATGTGTTACTTAGAGGAATAGATTTTTCGAAGATATACAGTGTTCCTCCAGAATAGAAGAAAAGAGAACAGGATCAATCCTCAGATATTTACTGCTGGAGGCCTTGTAGGGAATGGGGAGTTGTTTGTTGACAGAATTTTGGTAGTCTAGATCTGGAATCAGCAAACTATAGATCAAAGACCAAATCTGACCTGCCACCTGCTATTGCCTATTATTTTCTACTCAAGAGCTAAGAAGTGTTTTTACATTAAATATTTTGAAAAAAATATTTTGGGATGTGTGTAAATTATATGAAATTCAAATTTTAGGGCCTATAAATTTTTGTTGGAATGCAGCCACATTTACTCATTTAGATGTTGTCTGTGGCTGCTTTCATACTACAATAGCAAGGTTGAGTACTTGGAACAGAGATCCAATGGCCAGAAAAACCTCACAGAAAAGTTTGCTGACTTAGCAAACTTAACATCCTCTCCCTGCCCACACTTTCAGCAATTTTGATAAAAAATATAAAGTTTAATTAATTTGGCATAATGACTTAAAAAAAAGCAGCATGGCTCTACCTGATTGATTAACAAATGAACTGTGGGTTCTGGGTGCCATTAGTGTAGGCCCCCAGGTAAGACTTTAGGGATAGACTGCTGTGGGCTGGCTATTTGTCTCTCTGCAAAATGGAAATGATGTAATTGGTCTGTTAATGTACTTGATTCTTTGTTGACTAAAATATCTGAGGAGTTATGACAAAAGGAAGTTAGGGAAGAATGAGACAATTGTGGAATCATTTGCTGTAAGTACAAATATAGACTTTTAACTTTTGCCCGTTATGTGTTGTTTTTTTTAATATATATTTTATTGATTTTTTACAGAGAGGAAGGGAGAGGGATAGAGAGTTAGAAACATCCATGAGAGAGAAACATCAATCAGCTGTCTCCTGCACACCCCGCACTGAGGATGTGCCCGAAACCAAGGTACATGCCCTTGACTGGAATCGAACCTGGGACCCTTCAGTCCTCAGGCCGACGCTCTATCCACTGAGCCAAACCAGTCAGGGCCCATTATGTGTTTTTAATGTAACTTTGGGTGTTTGAGATTTGTAATTTGACTGTTGATATGGTATATTGTTGGTA